CGCCCCCCGGTTTGTGACATCACAAACCCTATAATTTACATAACCCCGCCCCCGGGAACACACAGTCCATGTTGAGAAGAGGAAGAGTTGTTGTAGTCGAGCACATTTGTGAGTTCAAGCTCAAGCTGTCTTTCACATGCAATACAGTACGCAACACAAACGCAATAGAAAGTCACTCTGTGTGCATTTCACAACAGTTCCCACAAGAGCGATTTATAGATTATAATGACAGAATATGCTAATTGAAGATAGTTAACTCCACATCAGCAACATAAATTCATCAACTAACCATTCAGAGACGTCTTGTTGCTTGTTGAGTCTCTATCACACACATGTACGCATGCACACACACACACACACACAAAAACTCTTGAAGCTCCGCCCTCTTAGCCGGGAGCAGCAGCTCATTTGCATTTAAAGGGACACACACGAAACAATGCATTTTTACTAACCCTCAAAAGGGACCATTTTAACATGCTGGAAAATAAATATCTGTGGGTTTAGCGAGGTTTTCCAACTTTCAATTCAGCTTATTTAGTTTCAACTTTAAAACGTACCACCGATTTCAATGTAATGTTTATTCAGGCTTTGGTAAGCCTCTAGCACAGGCCTATTTGAACCACAATGACGGTGTGTTTTAAAGGTCCCATATTGTACACATTTCTGAAGTTTTATTTTAGGTTTTGATGTCCTTAAGGATATATATTTGCGGTATAAGTACTAAAAATCATTCCAATTTATTTTTACAGCTCCTTTCTCAGGAGCTCTGCCAAGAACGTCTCAGGTTACGACTGTAACCTTTGTTCCCTGAGAACAGGGAACGAGACAATACGTCATTCGACGCTATGGGGAATGCCTCAGGCGTGACAGGTGTCTGAAATCACTATCAAATCACGTCAATCACATTGACCGGCGACAGCCCGTGAATCATTAGCGTGAATGATTAACGTGCGACCTGGAAGTATCTAAAGGCGCCTTGCAAACATGACAAATCACCTTATCGTCTGAAGGGACTGTACGGCAGGCGGGCCCCGAGGCATGGCAGGGAGACGTATTGTCTCGTTCCCTGTTCTCAGGGAACAAAGGTTACAGAACAAAGGTTACAGTCGTAACCTGAGACGTTCCCTTTCGAAGGGAACTCATCAATACGTCATCCGACGCTATGGGGAACAAACTACCCACTCCGCCATGCTGAGGGAGTGCATGCCCAAAGGCTGTGACAACTGTCAGAACCAGCAATTTCAAATGAAATGCTAGAACCACTCACCGTCAGGTCACACTGGGCTGTCAGTGACAGCATTCCCTACGGTCATAGCCCAAGCTATAAGCCTAGCAGGAAAGCCTCCATAAACATGGTTAAATGAAAGGCCTACCTGGGCCTGCTCAAATGCCTAGGACCACAACTTCAATTAGAAGGGGTCCCTTCTAGGGAATGTGGCTAGGGAACCCGAAGGAACCCCAGCCAGTCACTATTCAGGGGAACGTACTCACCCCGAAGTGCCACCAGGACGGCCTGACCTGGCGTCAGAGCATAGACACTTAGTCTGGCCACTTCCTGTCTGTCCGAAGACAGAGCCTCTGGACACCTGCCTTAAGTAAGGCATCCAACCCGAGGGACTGCGAAGCTGGCAGTGAACCACTCGGCCCGGATCTCAGAGACGGGATATCCCGGAGAGTATGACTCAGCATAGTGCTTTCCAACCCTTGCTAGCGAGGGGAGTTCCTCTACTCGATCCACGGATCAACCCAGTGTCTGTGTTTCAAAACACTGAGGAGGCCTGTGAAGGCCTCAAGGACTGATCTAACTGGGAGGCCTCACGAGAGGCCTACGACCATCTGACCAGACTCAGGAGTCCGCGTGCTCACAGTGACCCTCAATGAGGGGAGCATATGGTCCCCCTGGTAGGCAAAACCAGGCTGTAGGCAGGAAAGAGGTTCCGGGAGGGAACCAGTAGCAGAGAATGAACACTTTAGTCGAGCCAGGGCGCAAGCTCGCCTTCAGCAGCTGCCTGATAAGGCCAGCTGAAATGATAGCAAGAAGCCACTAGCTTCCTGAACCCAGCACCGCTAGGTAACCACTTACAAGGAGGCCTGGTGAGGCCTACTACCTGATAGCAACACTATGTGGTCACCTACAGGGAGGCCTAGAGAGGCCTACTACCCGATAACGATAGTACGTGGGGAACTCACCCTCAGGGAGGCCTGGTGAGGCCTACTACCTGATAATCACAGCATGTGGGAACTCGTCTTCAGGGAGGCCTGGTGAGGCCTACTACCTGATAACCATCTTAAATGGGAATTCACCTTCAGGGAGGCCTGAGTGGCCTACTATCTGATAGCAACTGGTGGCTGAGTCCGGGTGATAGTTCCAAGCCGGCCTGCTAAGGTCAGCCAGCTGGGGACTCGCCTATCAGGGAGGCCTGGTTGGGCCTACTAGCTGATAGCAAGTCAATTCTGCTACAAATGAACACTGTTGGGAACCACACTACACCAACGTAACTATTGGGCCCACCCACAGGCGGCCTAGTATGGCTAGCTACCTGTAGCGGCTATAAAGTATGTCCCACAATGTTGGGACTCACCTCCGAGGAGGCCTGTTTAAGGCCTACTACCCACCGGTGAGCCAACTGCCCGAACCACCAAGGCCAACCATTTCTCTCGAGAAGTGGCCTACAGCGCCCTACTGGGGGCTGCCCATACAAAGAGGCCTGCTGAGGCCTACTACCTGATGGCGCAGCCTTCGTTGGCAGAAAAGCTGTTTACACAGCGCCTACAGCATCCTGGTGCCTAATCACATTGCCCACGGCAGTGTACTCAGAAAGAGAGCTTAGCACCCTTAAAACAAGGGGAGTACAACATACGCCACTCTGCCTCAACGGAGGCCCCAGTTAGTCAGGGGCCTACCATCTATGCATGGGCGTCAGCTCAGGGCAATGCTCTGGCTACAGGGGAGCGTACTTCGACCAAAGAAGAAGTGAAGGCTTACTTCACACTCGACCCGAGCCATAGTGGTGCGAGGTAGGATAAACAGAACTGGGAGTGAAGTACTCAGACCTACCCTGAATCACAGGGGAATACTCACACCTCACCCTAAGGTTACGAGGGGGCGGGCCTGCCAGCGGCTCTAGGGGTGACAGAAATGTATCTGTGCCCAACCAAGGGGAGTGGGGCTTGAATGAAAGCCAACCACCTACAACCCGCCGCTCGAGTAGTAGCTCAGCGAGGTAAGTGAAGCCCATACTGGCGGCCTAAATCCGTAGCCAGTTCTGCATGGCAGGGTCAGGCAGGAGACTCAGTCTTCTTCGCTTTCTCTTTTGAAGTGAAAGACGGCCTAACCCTGCTCAATAAAGACATAAATACCACGGAGGCCTGTTTGAGGCCTACCATGTCCTATAAACCATCCTCTGCACCACGCTGCATTACTCTAGTCACCCCAGAATGCAGAGAAGGGGGCGGGCCTTGGCCTAACGACTCCCATGGGAGGAGGCTGATATACAGGGATGCCAAAAACCTACATTCACAAAGTGAAGAGTCAGAGGAAGAAATGCTAATTTAGCAAAACACCTCTAATATCCCTGGCACAGCCTAGGCCAGCTACAGAGGCGGCCCTGGTGAGGGCCAACCTGTAAGCATAGATCTATCTGAGGGCTCAGAGGAGCCACAGCCTGCTAAAGAATATAGTCTGTATTATTCCATACAAAGGGCTGCAGAACGCTCAACCTAATGAAAACTCAACAGAGCTCAAGGGGCGAAATACTCAGAAATGTCAAAACGGTCCCATGGGCCGGACATAAGATCTATCTGAAGCTCTAGCGTCAGTCAACACTCTAAGTAAAACATACTATCAGAGAGAGACCAACTACTCTACCCTGAGGTGGCTAATAGCCCAAAGGCTAACATAGTTATCGTTCAGGCCACCTAACGGGGAACTTCAGGGCCCTAATAATCCAATAAAGTTCTCTTACCTTATTACCTTGACATGACCCCATAACTCTTTATACAGGGAACGAGGTCTGTAAAGAGAAATATGTTATTTTTTATCACAAAAAAATATACTCCTTGAAAAGACCAGCAGCTCACCTGCGGCGTGCAAAGTGAAGACTCGCCAGAAGTTTTATGCGAACCTGGGAACCGCCACTTTACACGCCTGAAAGGGGCGTTTCCACCAACCAGGCTCGGGTAGGCCATCAGAACATAGTTCCCATCATAGGCCCATCCCCAGGCCTGATGTAATGAACGCCTGGGGGTCAGAAAAGAGAGGGCAGAAGTCGTGACCCTCTGGGGAGGTTATCCATTACCGACGCCGTGAGCGTTTGTTCTGGATAACCTCCCTCAAATCTCTTCTGTGGCGGGAGTCACGCCTCCTCTGCGACCTGCTCCTTGAGGGAGGGGGCGCACGAGAGGCGACACTGGCTCGCTGGCCCTGCCTACGGTCCTCAGACTGTGAAGGGCCAGGCTCTCCCGCCTGCCTGGGTGCGGACGCGGATCTCAGCGGTATACATGTTTTAAAAGCTGCTGAGCACGCCTTCGCCTCCCTGAACTTCCCCACCACCGCTTCTACAGAGGTGCCAAAGACTTCGGAAGGCGAAACTGGTGAATCGAGGAAAGGTTTTTTCTTTCTCCCCGATTCCAGCTAGATTTAGCCACAGATGCCTCTCCGTGGCCACCATCGCCGCCATCGACCGACCAATCGCGGCAGCGGTTTGCTTGGTAGCCCGGAGAGCCAGATCTGTGGTCTGGCGCAGCTCAGCCACCGCCTCAGGGGACAACCCTGCCCCCTGGTCGAGATCCCTCAGCAGGTCGGCCTGGTACGCCTGTAACACCGCCATGGTATGAAGTGCAGCACCGGCCTGACCTGCTGCCGTGTATGCTCTGCCATTCAAACGAGCCGTTGTTTTCAGCGGTTTGGATGGCAGGGTTGGAGCTTTTAGTGTCGCTGCCCGCCCCGACACAAGATAGTTCGCGAACGTCTAGTCAATGGGCGGCATTGACACATACCCATGCTCTCCGATCCCCTCAACATCAGCGAAACTGGCCCGCTGATGTTGGTGAATACGTGCAGAGTATGGGTTCTTCCATGCCTTCTCGATCTCCATGTGTAGATCAGGAAGGAATGGAAGGCTCACCCGAGCTGGTGGTGTACGGCCGGGGAGAAACCGATCATCGAGCCTTCCGCGAGCGGCCCCTCCTCTAGCGCGCTGCCAAGGCAACTGCAGCCTGTCAGCAGCGTGCTCCATAACATCCACCAGCTGAGCATACATGGGGCAGGGTGGCTGAGGAGGTTCAAGATCTTCCTGATCATAAACCTCCCCAACCATCTCCTGCGCGTCCGGAAGAGCCGCAACTGCAGGTACAGTCGGTGAGTAAACTCCCCGATCATCGACCTGCAGTTCGCTCTCGTCAGCCGTCGAATCATCTGAGAGGTTTACAGCCTTCTCAAGGCGATCGACGAGCTCCATCTGAGAACCCCATGATGAAAGTCGCCGCTCTGCCTCAGCACGAGCGGGACCTGCACCACGAGGAACAGATGCTGAGCCCCCTTCACTCGAGAAGAGGGCCAGACAAGAGCGGAGCATTTTAAGAGAAAAATGCTCGCAGTTCGCACAGAGGGTTCCCTCGAGAACCTCCCGTGCGTGCTCTTCTCCCAAACAAAAAACACACAGCTCGTGTGTGTCAGCCGGTGTCAGAAACTCGGACACGGGTCGGCACACTTACGAAAACAATCTGCTTTTGTTGTGCGTTTCATCTTACCTTTTTGCTCGTAATTTGAGTAGCGTTTCATACAAAACAGTCCCTGAAGACGATGAGGAGATTTGTCATGTTTGCAAGGCGCCCTTATATACTTCCAGGTCGCACGTTAATCATTCACGCTAATGATTCACGGGCTGTCGCCGGTCAATGTGATTGACGTGATTTGATAGTGATTTCAGACACCTGTCACGCCTGAGGCGTTCCCCATAGCGTCGAATGACGTATTGTTGAGTTCCCTTCGAAAGGGAACAGTTCGACAGGTTTGGCATTTCTAATTAATATTCATGAGCCTCTCTTCTGATTGGCCTGTTGTCTTCTGAGTGACGCACGGCCAGGCCAACCACAGGTAAGTAGGGTCATGTATGCTGTAGCCTGCAGATTTGACAATATGAGACGTTTAAGAGCAGTGAGTGATTATGTTCTTTGATTTACTTCAGGTAGTCTAGGGTTCGGTACTTTGGTGCACACCGGGGTCGGCAAGACAGCTTCCACATTAACGGTTTTTCATGCGAGCCGTTCCCCGTTCCGAACTAAGCTGCTAGTGCAAAAATACTCTAAGAATAATTTGTTCCTGTTGTTTTTCTCTTGTGTGTTTGTAGCAGATGCAAATGGGGATAATAAAACATACTATAAATATTTTTGTCTCTTTCAGAGATGTCGGTGACCAGCTCCAGTCCAGTGATCCGGGTTCTTCTGATGGGCAGGAAGGGATCTGGGAAAAGCTCTTCTGGAAACACTATACTGGGAGAAAGAAAGTTTAAAGTTAAAAAGAAACATGAAGCTGAAGTGTGTGAAGAAGTAACTCAGACCGGAGAGAAGCAGGTGTGTGTGATTGATTGTCCAGATCTAATGGATCCAGATCTGAATAAAGAGAAGCTGGAGAAGATGAAGGATCAGCTGGTCTCTCGATGTTCATCAGGTCTCAGTGCAGTTCTGCTCACCGTTCCTCTAGAGGAACCTGTGGGAAACGAGGAGGAGATCCTGGATTATATCAAGCGTTTATTAGGTCCTGAAGTTCAGAAGTACATCATGATTCTGTTCACACATGAAGATGTTCTGGATGAACCGCGGGCCATTGATGAATATCTACAAGATCATGAGGATCTCCAGCGACTGGTGACTGAATGTGGAGGAAAGTTTCACTGTTTCAATAACAGGAGTAAATCAAACATCAAAGAAAGTCAGAAACGAGAACTACTGCAGAAGATCGAAGGAATGACGCAGGGCAATAAGGGGAAATTTGTCACGGCAAAAATGAAGAGGAGTGACAGCAAAGACTTTCCTGGGGTCAACTGTAAGATGATGATCATTATTATTATTATTATTATTTCTAATTACAAATTTTCTTGAATGTAGAATGCAGATCTTTCTACAGATCTTGAATGCAGATCTTTAAGGTTTATTGAGAATATTGAGATTTTATTCAACAACACATTGATGTGGTTTGATGTTTCTGTTGTAGTTTCATCAGAAGATCCAGATGAGATTGATGTGATTCCTGAGAGGAAAGACCAGATCAGACTGAAAAACTGGATCTGGGAAAAGTGGCACTGGAAACACCATAATCGGCAGAAACCTGTTTAAATCTACAGCCGGTTCAAAATCTGTGACGAAACAGTGTCGGTTTCTGCAGAAACTACAGGGAGGATGGGTAAAGAGATCTCAGTGATCGACACTCCTGGACTTTATGATACTAAACTCAGTGATGAAGAGGTTAAAACTGAAATAGGGAAATGCATGCTTCTCCTGGCTGGACCACATGCTTTTATTATCATGATTAAAGTGGATTGATTCACTTAGGAGGAGAACAACACAATACAACAGCTCAAAAAAGTGTTGGGAGAAGTAATACTAAAATATGATCATCTTCACTCACAAAGACCAGTAGGAGAAAGAAAAGCAAAGTAGTCAGCAGTTTTTAGAGCACTGTGAGCCAAATCTTAGAAAACTCATACGCAGTTGTGGAAACAGATTCCTCTGTCTGGACAACAACTCTGCCAGTTTCCCACAGTTCAGAGATCTGCTCAGTAAAATAGAGAAGATGGTGGAACTTGAAAACTTTTTGTCTGTTCAGTAAGTAGAGATGATTCTTTAAGACTGAAATCAGCAGGAAGGCGCTTTCCATATTCTTTCTTTGTCTTCATGTTCATCTCTGTTTATATGCTTATAGAAAGCCCTTCAATTTGTATTTCTGAAGGTAGGTCTATGTAGACTGCTTTTCTTTTATAGTTAGTGGGATGTTTTGGTTGTTATGTTGGCCTTGACCCCTCCTGAAGCTTAATTTAGCTTCCTTTGTGAATAAAATTGTTTTCTTTCACTTACTAAATGCTTGGTCTGGAAATTCCTTATATCATATTTTTCATATTCTCATCCAGAGTATGATCTTTGAGTTATATTAACAGTTAGTTTTGTAATTATATACAGTGTTTCAAGCTGGTTCTTTCAGACTCACACACACATCAATGCGCCCGGGCAGTCAGCGTCCACTAGTGCGCCTGTCAGCATCCACTAGAGCGCCCGGGCAGTCAGCGTCCACTAGAGCGCCCGGGCAGTCAGCGTCCACTAGTGCGCCTGTCAGCATCCACTAGAGCACCCGGGCAGTCAGCGTCCACTAGAGCGCCCGGGCAGTCAGCGTCCACTAGAGCGCCCGGGCAGTCAGCGTCCAGTAGTGCGCCTGTCAGCATCCACTAGAGCGCCCGGACAGTCAGCGTCCAGTAGTGCGCCTGTCAGCATCCACTAGAGCGCCCGGACAGTCAGCGTCCACTAGTGCGCCTGTCAGCATCCACTAGAGCGCCCGGGCAGTCAGCGTCCAGTAGTGCGCCTGTCAGTGTCCACTAGAGCGCCTGGGCAATCAGCGTCCACTAGAACGCCCGGGCAGTCAGTGTCCACTAGAGCGCCCGGGCAGTCAGCGTCCACTAGAGCGCCCTGGCAGTCAGCGTCCACTAGAACGCCCGGGCAGTCAGCGTCCACTAGTGCGCCTGTCAGCATCCACTAGAACGCCGGGCAGTCAGCGTCCACTAGTGCGCCTCTCCGCATCCACTAGAGCGCCCGGGCAGTCAGAGTCCAGTAGTGCGCCTGTCAGCGTCCACCAGAGCGCCCGGACAGTCAGCGTCCAGTAGTGTGCCTGTCAGTGTCCACTAGAGCGCCTGGGCAATCAGCGTCCACTAGAGCGCCCGGGCAGTCAGCTTCCACTAGTGCGCCTGTCAGTGTCCACTAGAGCGCCCGGGCAGTCAGTGTCCACTAGAGCGCCCGGGCAGTCAGTGTCCACTAGTGCGCCTGTCAGTGTCCACTAGAGCGCCCGGGCAGTCAGTGTCCACTAGAGCGCCCGGGCAGTCAGCGTCCACTAGTGCGCCTGTCAGTGTTTACTAGAGCGCCTGGGCAATCAGCGTCCACTAGTGCGCCCGGGCAGTCAGCGTCCACTAGAGCGCTCGGGCAGTCAGCATCCACTAGAGTGCACGGGCAGTCAGCATCCACTAGAGCGCCCGGGCAGTCAGCGTCCACTAGTGCGCCTGTCAGCATCCTCTAGAGCACCCGGGCAGTCAGCGTCCACTAGAGCGCCCGGGCAGTCAGCGTCCACTAGAGCACCTGGGCCTTCAGCGTCCACTAGAACGCCCGGGCAGTCAGCGCCGGCTAGAGCGCCTGGACAGTCAGCGTCCACAAGAGCGCCCAGGCAGTCAGCGTCCACTAGAGCGCACAGGCAGTCAGTGTCCACTAGAGTGCCCGGACAGTCAGCGTCCACTAGTGCGCCTGTCAGCATCCACTAGGGCGCTCGGGCAGTCAGCGTCCACTAGTGCGCCTGTCAGCATCCACTAGAGCACCCGGGCAGTCAGCGTCCAGTAGAGCGCCCGGGCAGTCAGCGTCCACTAGTGCGCCTGTCAGCATCCACTAGAGCGCCCGGACAGTCAGCGTCCACTAGTGCGCCTGTCAGTATCCTCTAGAGCACCTGGGCATTCAGCATCCACTAGAGCGCCCGGGCAGTCAGTGCCACTAGAGCTCCCAGGCATTCACCGTCCACTAGAGTGCCCGGACAGTCAGCGTCCACTAGTGCGCCTGTCAGCATCCACTAGGTCGCTCGGGCAGTCAGCGTCCACTAGTGCGCCCGGCCAATCAGCGTCCACTAGAGCGCCCGGGCAATCAGCGTCCACTAGTGCGCCTGTCAGTGTCCACTAGAGCGCCTGGGCAATCAGCGTCCACTAGAGTGCCTGGGCAGTCAGCGTCCACTAGAGCGCCCGGGCAGTCAGCGTCAACTAGTGCGCCTGTCAGGGTCCACTAGAGCGCCCGGGCAGTCAGCGTCCACTAGAGCACCCGGGCAGTCAGCGTCCACTACTAGTAGTCAGTGTCTACAAGACCTACAGATATCATGCGTCTGTCAGCATCCACTAGAGCGCCCGGGCAGTCAGCGTCAACTAGTGCGCCTGTCAGCGTCCACTAGAGCGCCCGGACAGTCAGCGTCAACTAGTACGACTGTCAGCATCCACTAGAGCGCACGGACAGTCAGCTTCCACTACTAGTAGTCAGTGTCTACAAGACCTACGGATATCATGCGCCTCTCAGCATCCACTAGAGCGCCCGGGCAGTCAGCGTCCACTAGAGCGCCCGGGCAGTCAGCGTCGACTAGTGTGCCTGTCAGCGTCCACTAGAGCGCCCGGGCAGTCAGCGTCCACTAGTGCGCCTGTCAGTGTCCACTAGAGCGCCTGGGAAATCAGCGTCCACTAGGGCGCCTGTCAGTGTCCACTAGAGCGCCTGGGCAATCAGCGTCCACTAGAGCGCCCGGGCAGTCAGCGTCCACTAGAGCGCCCGGGCAGTCAGCGTCCACTAGTGCGCCTGTCAGTGTCCACTAGAGCGCCTGGGAAATCAGCGTCCACTAGAGCGCCTGTCAGTGTCCACTAGTGCGCCTGGGCAATCAGCGTCCACTAGAGCGCCCGGGCAGTCAGCGTCCACTAGAGCGCCCGGGCAGTCAGCGTCAACTAGTGCGCCTGTCAGCGTCCAATAGAGCGCCCGGGCAGTCAGCGTCCACTAGTGCGCCTGTCAGTGTCCACTAGAGCGCCTGGGCAATCAGCGTCCACTAGAGCGCCTGTCAGTGTCCACTAGAGCGCCTGGGCAGTCAGCGTCCACTAGAGCGCCCGGGCAGTCAGCATCCACTAGAGCGCCCAGGCAGTCAGCGTCCACTAGTGCGCCTGTCAGTGTCCACTAGAGCGCCTGGGCAATCAGCGTCCAATAGAGCGCCTGTCAGTGTCCACTAGAGTGCCTGGGCAATCAGTGTCCACTATAGCGCCTGTCAGCGTCCACTAGAGCGCCCGGGCAGTCAGAGTCCACTAGTGCACCTGTCAGCATCCACTAGAGCGCACGGACAGTCTGCTTCGACTACTAGTAGTCAGTGTCTACAAGACCTACGGATATCATGCGCCTGTCAGCATCAGCAAGAGCGCCCGGGCAGTCAGCGTCCACTAGAGCGCCCAGGCAGTCAGCGTCCACTAGTGCGCCTGTCAGTGTCCACTAGAGCGCCTGGGCAATCAGCGTCCACTAGAGCGCCCGGGCAGTCAGCGTCCACTAGTACGCCTGTCAGTGTCCACTAAAGCGCCTGGTTAATCAGCGTCCACTAGAGCGCCCGGGCAGTCAGCGTCCACTAGAACGCCCGGGCAGTCAGCGTCCACTAGAACGCCCGGGCAGTCAGCGTCCACTAGAACGCCCGGGCAGTCAGCGTCCACTAGAACGCCCGGGCAGTCAGCGTCCTCTAGAGCGCCCGGGCAGTCAGCGTCCACTAGAACGCCCGGGCAGTCAGCGTCCACTAGAGCGCCCGGGCAGTCAGCGTCAACTAGTGCGCCTGTCAGGGTCCACTAGAGCGCCCGGGCAGTCAGCGTCCACTAGAGCACCCGGGCAGTCAGCGTCCACTACTAGTAGTCAGTGTCTACAAGACCTACGGATATCATGCGCCTGTCAGCATCCACTAGAGCGCCCGGGCAGTCAGCGTCAACTAGTGCGCCTGTCAGCGTCCACTAGAGCGCCCGGACAGTCAGCGTCAACTAGTACGACTGTCAGCATCCACTAGAGCGCACGGACAGTCAGCTTCCACTACTAGTAGTCAGTGTCTACAAGACCTACGGATATCATGCGCCTCTCAGCATCCACTAGAGTGCCCGGGCAGTCAGCGTCCAATAGAGCGCCTGGGCAGTCAGCGTCGACTAGTGTGCCTGTCAGCGTCCACTAGAGCGCCCGGGCAGTCAGCGTCCACTAGTGCGCCTGTCAGTGTCCACTAGAGCGCCTGGGAAATCAGCGTCCACTAGAGCGCCTGTCAGTGTCCACTAGAGCGCCTGGGCAATCAGCGTCCACTAGAGCGCCCGGGCAGTCAGCGTCCACTAGAGCGCCCGGGCAGTCAGCGTCCACTAGTGCGCCTGTCAGTGTCCACTAGAGCGCCTGGGAAATCAGCGTCCACTAGAGCGCCTGTCAGTGTCCACTAGTGCGCCTGGGCAATCAGCGTCCACTAGAGCGCCCGGGCAGTCAGCGTCCACTAGAGCGCCCGGGCAGTCAGCGTCAACTAGTGCGCCTGTCAGCGTCCAATAGAGCGCCCGGGCAGTCAGCGTCCACTAGTGCGCCTGTCAGTGTCCACTAGAGCGCCTGTCAGTGTCCACTAGAGCGCCTGGGCAGTCAGCGTCCACTAAAGCGCCCGGGCAGTCAGCATCCACTAGAGCGCCCAGGCAGTCAGCGTCCACTAGTGCGCCTGTCAGTGTCCACTAGTGCGCCTGTCAGTGTCCACTAGAGCGCCCGGGCAGTCAGCGTCCACTAGAACGCCCACTAGAACGCCCGGGCAGTCAGCGTCCTCTAGTGCGCCTGTCAGCATCCACTAGAGCGCCCGGGCAGTCAGCATCCACTAGAGCGCCCGGGCAGTCAGCGTCCACTAGAGTGCACGGACAGTCAGCTTCCACTACTAGTAGTCAGTGTCTACTAGACCTACGGATATCATTTTGCTTGTAGTTTTGTGTTAATACAATTTAAATCAATTACATCTCATAATTTAGTTGAATTCATTTTGTATTGTATTGTGTAATTTAATCAAAATTACATTTTTATAGCCTGCAA